ATGTGTATCGCTGATCTGTGGAGCCCAGTGGAAACATCGTAAAAAACTGTCCCCCGTACAAGTGACGATTTTCATGCTTTTTCGTCCTGCAGCTTCGTTTTCACTGAAAGGCGGGCCTTGAGGGCGGAGTCTGGAGGCGGAGTCACTGGAGAAAGGGAGGCGTCACTGAACCAGTATTGCGCTTCTTTCTCCTTTACAATTTTTTCCTGCGAAACCGGTAGAGAGTGTTAGCAGCGGATCATACTACCCTCTCGACACCACATTTTCAACTTCTATACCTGATCGTAGACAGTACCTTTAATCTGAACAATTGAATTTCAAATCTTTTTTTCCTTTTTTGCTTCTTGATCGTTTTCGCTTCCTGCTCATTTGAACGAATCATACACATCTTCCATGAGCTCTCTAAACCAACGAGCTGATTGAATGAGTCAAACTTTATTTTATGTAATCCGCGAGTATAGTAATTGCATCAAACTTTATTGGAGATCCTTCCACGACTCACCACTCAACTTTTAGCCCATGATCTTTCTGTCACTGTGATCTACATTATCCTAGTCAACGATGTTTTCTATACTGCAACTTCTCACGGTGCTCACTCAGGAAGTTCTCACGCAATATGACAGTTTTCCGGTAAGGATATTTCAATAAAAAATCCTCCATGTTCCCTACAAACTCGATTTAAACTCGATTTGCGGGAAGGAAACCTTCCATCAGAACCATGCCTTGTTGGAGCTGACCACCTCTGACTCGAGCATTGCCTTTCCTTATAGAGTGCTCCATTTGGTCGCAGGCATTGACTTTAGTTGCTAGTATAGAGGGCTCTAAGTCTGTGAGCGCGAAGCAGCGAATTCTGCCGCATTAGCTGGTGGGTACGAGAGCGAGTACGCTCTTTCAAGAAATATCGGCACTTGAGGATGTGTATAAATAGAACATGACCACGTGTAAGCCATTCCAACTCTTATCGCGAAATATGAACGAAGCACGCAAAACAGCGTACCTCAACTCTTAACACAGCTGCTGCGATGGGGTGTCGGTTGGGAAATCCACATTGGAGCGACGCTCACAAACTAGCTATTTCTGCTTGTTAGTTGACCCTGACCGCGGAGCATTTCCAACTCGAGTCAGTTACAGTCATAATCCCTGCAACGGACAGGGCATAGGACGGGAGTGCAGCTGGGGCAGACATCCCACCAGTTGTAGCGGGCTCTGGATAGCATAATTGTTGGAACGAGGCTGCCCCGGTTACGCTCCAGTACGCGCCGCGTCACAAGCCCTATCATTTGCACTGATAATAACAGTCTATTTTGGTGCGAATGACGCGTGCGCTCGACACCCCTTGCTGCTGCTAGTCTACAGTTCATTCATGTGACGCTTCTAGTTAAAGCGGCGTTTCACTAAAGCACTGAGAGTTCGAGTCCCATTCCGAAAACAAATAGCATGTAGTTAGAATCTTTGCTTTGTTTCATTGGTGCTTCAAAACTTGACTTTAGGTATACTGGAACGTCCCATCAAAAGTCTGTTACACGCGAAAAGTGGATATTCCTTTGAAACAATTTGGTATTACTCACAATAAAGGTGAGTGAGCTGACACTAGTAAGTGCTTACTTGTCTTAAAATATGCGAAGGTGGGGCAGTGGTACATCCTCCATCTCCTGATGCTCCCTACCATCTTTTCCGAAAAATTTTCAGTTTTTCCTCCACGAAAAGCTGTAGCGAGCTGAAGGAGGTGGGGGGGGGGGGAGGAAGGGGAATGTCGTCACCAAACAACCACTACTTTCAAACTATCGTAAATAGTAGTTGTGTGACACTTTGATGAGGACAACACAGTTAGGTAGGGGGAGGGAGAAATTTCTCTCGCATGAGAGTGTGAGCTTGGGTGGTGGTCAGATGCGAGCCAATAGAAAGCCAGTCATGCGACGTCCACCATTAGCTCGACTGGAGCCCATCACTCACCCTGCTCTAAAGTTTTTGTCCGTTCCATACGAGACCCATGACGATTGCATAAGGATTTGATTTATATACACAAGAACAACGCCATGCGTCCATGTTTTCGCTCCGAGGACACTACAAGTGGCTAAAGTGATTGATTTCAGTTATTATTCAGAGAAAAACTCCGCCATTGCATATTTATGCAAAACGGAAGTATAGTGGCCGAGTGACCCTCTAGGGAACAAAAGCAAAAAATCATGGGGAAACAGCATAAAACCTCTAGCAGCTTCACTCTACGAGTTGTACAGACCTGCTCGTTTTGTGCCAGCAAAGGGGCAGGGCAACTAAAGAGGCGTCAGAACTGCTGCTTAAGGGGGCCGCAGCGCCTTCGTCACTTCCTGTGAATCGCTTGAGCGTGGGTGTTGCCTTCATAGAAACGGTCCGCGAAACCCCATGAAAATGCAGACGACTGTTATGGTAGGGTGGTGTGGTCCACAGTGAACAAACTTGCGCCAGTTTTACGGCTGAAAGTTGTAAGGTGTAGGAATTACGATGCGAAATTGCCCCAGTGGTATCTCCATGTGACTCCGCCTCCAGACTCCGCTCTGAAGCCCGCCTTCAGCCAAAAGTAGTGCTACCCGACAAGTAGCATGCTATATCGTCTTCATAGGGCTCAGGAGTCATGAACTAAATTCGCTTCGACAAGCGGCTTTGTTGCAATCTCACCCGTCCCGTTTTCTGAGGCTGAAGGTGTCATACTGAAGGTGTTTCCTTTGGCGTTCCTCCTCACGAACGAGTCACTCGGCAACTTCCCCTCCACATTTCACTGCCAGCACCTACGCTCCTTATCGCGAACCGTGCCTTC